GACATTAGCTAAACATTTTATACATGTTAGCTAAACATATGATACACGTTAGCAGAAATATTCAAAACAAACTTATATTTGCGTTTCTAAGTCTTTAAGGTTCAATCCAAGTCTCACTGATAAATTGCTATTTTTTTAAATAAACATTATTATTTTTATTTTTTTAAGTTTTTTTTTACAAGGATATTGGGGGCCTGATGGAGATTGTCCAAGGGCCACTTTTGGCCCTCAGACCTTAAGTTGCCCACGTCTGCTCTAAGGGATACTCATTGGGTAAAATCATTGATTAAAACGTCAGCGTTCAGTAATAAACAGACATCAGTGACGTGACAGTAAATATTCTTTGGCATCCATCTTCTTGTTGCGCCATCTCCTAATCTCATCAGACATAAACAAATGATGGACATTTGATATAAAACATTTAAAAAATCATTTAGATCTACACTTTTTCTTTTTATTTCTGGGAATTGTTTGAAGTCAAGAAGACAATAATTATAGTTAAAACTACACACAAAACAAGAAAAAAAAAATCAAAGTGGAAACACACTGACTGACTGATATGCATGAAAATGGAGGAAAACTAATAATGTCAGCAATAAAGACTTAAAAAAACAACAATCAGAACATATTGTCAAATAAATGAGACATTAAATCAGCTGTACAACAAAAAGAAAGCGAACAGACAAGTTGAACAGAAGATATGTCACACACAAAATAAAATATTTAAAAAAGGAGAACATTGAGTAAAGTGCCAGCACAGATCTCCAAGTCCACCATCATCTGTCTTTATTTATCTTATACTCTTTTTTTAATTTTCCAATAAAAAAATAAACAACATGGTGAAAGTTATTTGAAAAGAAGGAGGAGGTTTCCCGTCGCACAAAGTCTGAAGGAGGTGTTTCTGTTGGACCGGCTGCTCCAAGCGGTCAAATATTCATGCGACTGAAACGAAACCGTCCAGAGAGACTGAACTTCTACTCTAACAGGACTTGCTCATTGCATGAATAAATGCACATCACTTCTCAACTCCAGGACTGAAGAGTCTTAAAATGCAGTTTTTGTCATGTTGCTACTGAAAAAAAAAATCTGTTGAAGTTTTCCGTCCACAAAAAAAGGACTAGAAAAAAAAAATCATAACTTATTGAAAAATGTTTGTTTTTTTAAACACTGACCCAAAAACACAACCAAGACAACTAAAGGAGTCATACTTGTTCACACTGCACCAAATCTTTAGCCTGGCCTCCCCCCTCTTATCTAATATGACAGTTTTAGTGTTCCCACGCACATGTTGATGATTCAGTTTATTACAGACTTTGAGGTAAAATAAAGACAGGAAAAAAATTAAACGAAGGCAAAGAAAAGCAATATCAGAGATTTTTAAACAATTACAGTTCAGGGAAATCAAAACAATGCATGGTACGTATGTTTTGGCCGGGTTTTGATTTAATTTTGCACACTTGAGTAGCATCTTTAATTTGGACACAGACGACCGATCGTTGATGAAGAGAAAACTGTTGAGACACACATCTGTTTCACGTCCTGCTGAGCACTGTCTAGTTTAGTCAACCCTGACGGCTGACTACATTCTTTAATAAAAGTAAATTCAATAAATAAATGGATAAATGAGTAAATAAAAAACACATAAATTGAAGACAGCTCCTTGCACACATACCTTACCTCATGTCTCGCTCATGAAAGCTACATTTAATGAACCCCTTTTAAAGCCAAAAAAAAAAAAATCATGTTTTGACTTCTGACCTTTCCCCACATCAGTTTCTTGAGGTCTTTCGCTTACACAGATGCCAGCACATCACATACACCTCACATGCATGCTCAGAATGGCCAAAATGACAGTGATCGTATTTTACAGGGTTACAATGGACAAGGTCATCAGAACTCCAAGGATTACACACCTCTTCACAGTCACTTGGGGTCATGTGGGGTGTTCAGAGTGATAACTCACACTGGCAAATGTCTTCAGCAGGGACTTCATAAAAACGTCCCGATGAAGTTGTACTGCATTGTCACTTTGTAACGCTTACAATAGTAAGTGGGCTTCTATAAGCCAGAGTTCTTTTGAAAATGATTCACTGACTCTGAGTCTTGAGTTCTCACAAGGTTTAGTCCTTTTTAAATCACAGTTGCCAATATGGTACTGTCAAAATGTTTTTGTTTCAAACAGTTTATGTATATCTTGTGAAATGACTTGTTTTCTATACATAGTATTCCTTGTCCTTGTCTTTCGGTCTCTTGCTACTGGAACTACCTTTGGCGCTACCGCTGGGTGTTTTATCCTTCACCACAGCGCCGTTGGTTTGCGCCGAGTTGCTGATGTAGTTACGTGTTTCATCCACCTGGTAGGATCCCTCATCCCTGTTCCTGTACTTGTACATGGCATAGAGGAGAATGAGGATGCAGAGAGCTGCAGCTGAGACAATGCCCACCACCATGCCCGTAGTACTGCTGGATTCCCGGATCACCTCCGAGACCCCCGGAGGCATGTGCCTCACCACATCAGGTATCGTGGGCAAGGCAGCAGGTACAGTGCGCAGCATAGGCGAGGTGATGAAAGGGTCTCTTGGCTTGGTGCCGTCCACATCAAAGGACGTGGGCAGGGGCAGCAGGACGATATCTGGCTGCAGGGGTTTTACCTCACGATTGTCCATTTTCCCTGCAGGCAGTTTAGGTGGCGTATCCGAGGGGACCGCTGCCGGCGGTGTGCCCCCGATGTCAGGCAGAGGCAAGGTGGGTATAGTCCTACCTGCCTCTGAGGCTTTGCTAGGCCTCAAGTCCTTGGCTTCCCACTTGGGCACGAGAACTTTGTAGCCACCTTCATAGGCCGATGTGGTCAAGGTCTTATCTGTTACCAGGGAGAAGGTGGTGTAAAAATCTTCATCGTCAGTCGGGGGCAGGCTAGAGTCGAAAGCTTCACCAGAGCCAAACCCCGAAATCACCATGCCATCATCATCATCATCATCATCACCACCATCACCATCATCATCACCACCATCACCACCATCACAATCATCGCTGCCTCGGTCCGAAAAGCAAGGTACCCCCGCCTCAGTGGCCATGGCCAAGGACTCTTTGGTGGTGTCGATAATGGTGAGGACGGGGCGGAGGGTTGGGGGGAGGGGAATGAAGGGTGAACGGGTGGATACAGAAGGGATGTCTATGGGGTCCTCGACTAGAATGGGAATGACTAGCTCCCCTCCTGCAAAACGAAAGAGACAGAAACAGAAGTCAAGAAAGTCCTCCACCAAGAAAGCAAGAAGCACTCAGCCACCAAAGAACCAGTAAACAAAGAACGTAAGAAGCAAAGCTCATATAAAAGGAAATGAAATAAGAAAAAAGAAAGAGAAATTTAGAGAACAGAAAGTACTGTAACAGTGCAAAAACAACAAAACTCAGAACAAAACAAGACCAAAACTGAAAGAAAGCAACAGCCATAAATAAAGTTTATATTGCATCAAAAGGCTTTGAGGGATGCACAAGGGTGAGCCACAATAAACTGACACGTCGTATTGAGTCCTACATATCCTACACGTCTACAGAGAGTAATAACATACATTTAAAATGTGATGCAGACTAGGTTTGGTATTTTTAATATGATTGGCGTCATATTTAGCTCCACCTAGTGATTCTGTACATATATCTATGTAAATGAGACTTTCAAGCTTTTCATGGCCAGTTTTTATCAGTCTTTCTAGAGGAAAATATTTTCTTTTAGTCCATAAAGAAAGAGCAAGCACCAAAAGATGGATAAAAAGAAGTCAAGATTTTAATATCTGTATGCCGTTCAAACACAACACTGTTTGGTCTGAAAGCAGGTTAACTAAGTTTGAAATGAGAAACAATGTGTTTCAGACTGTTCAGTTTTTTAACTCGTCTAACCTATATGGGCCAACGAATACAAACAGCTGCTTTGTCCGAAAAGCAAAGAAATATGACAAAATGCTATTGGAATGAAAGTGCTTGAACACCTTTTCAGATTACTGTGTATGTGTTACATCTCTATGGTATATTAGATACTGGAAGAACATAGCATTGTAAAGTCTCCTCATTATGTTTCTAATGCATCAGCTGATGTGTTATGGTCTCCAGGTTGCCAAGCAACAGGAGGTCATCTCAGAAATCTCCTATTATGACTATGTCAACTTTAAAACTTCACATCTACCTAATATACATGTCTTATTAAGACATATATGTGTAGGTTTGGACTTTACTTGAAGATGAGGAAAATAGAAGACTAGACTGAGAAAAGCCATAGTAGAGTAACTATTTTCTATTATAAGCATGTAGTCATGGTCTAGGTGGCAACAGAAGTTTGCCCATTACCACAGGCCAATGAGAGAAAGTGGTTGGTAAACGTCACATATGAAGTGGACTGAAGGGCCCTGGATTCTCCATCTGAAGCAGCAACAGTGGCTCTCATTGACGTAGATGAGTGACGATAATCGCGTCATTTTGTTCTCAGAGTAGCTTTGCCCGCCCCTTCTCGACACAAGACCCAGGGGGAACTTTTTCCTCACAGGAGTATGCACCAAGTATTGTGTGATGGGTCAGAAGTTTGTGGGCGTGTTCGTCAATGTGGAAATGCTCTTGGATATTCAGCTGTACGACTCTTCAAACACACAAATTAGTCAAATGACCAAAAACTCCTGGATGGAGATCGTGCCGACATTTGGAGTATGTCTGCTGGAAAGTGTGGCACTTCCTTCATGATAGATTTGTGGACAAAATGGTGGATACGGAGATGGAGTGGCTGGAAGAAACCCATACGGTGCTATACTGCAGCAGGAGGGGTTTCCCAGAAGCTCTGTGCCTGGGTCTCATGGACACTAGTGTGTCTGAAAATCATCATCCTGCAACCATGTGACTGTGCGTCGACTGCTCGGCTTCAGATGGAGTATGCTGGGCCCTTAAGGCATACGTAAGAACAGATGGCCACACCAACAAACCCAGGACGGCTATGTGATGGGATCGTGGCATATACCATAAATGTGCTATGGTATGCTGTAATTTTCCAACCTTCAATCCATTGCAAATGCAACATATGTGATGGAAACACTGTGAACGTATGGCATTTACCTCACAAGACTTAAGCTTTAACTGCAATAAGTATCCCAACACGTGGCAGAATATGAACAAGAGTTACAATACTCTAGTACGTAAAACGTGCCTTGATTAAGTGAATGTGTTTCTCTCAGCATTACTGGGCTCCCCTAGTTGCCCGAGCCTCTCGCCTTTTGACCCTACAGTTACCACAGTGGCATAAAGTCGCTGGGCAGTTCAGTGACACCTGAATGTTTGCTGACTGGAAGCAAAGTCTTAACTTTAGAAGGTATTTCAGTCTGAAACCAAATAAATCAAACTTCCTCACACTTATTTATCTCAAATTGTTTAACTTAGTTTTTAGTTAGACTGTGCATGAACACCTAGAGTCTGAAACGTTCAGATGTCTGTTGAAGCTGCTTTTCCTCTTGTCAAAGTGGCTTGTTATAAAATTTATTTACTTTTTATTAATAGTGCAAAGGCTCACAAACAGGGCATTATAAAGAGATGCAAACCTTTTGGAACAAAAAGAATAAAAACAACAAAAATGAGGAAAACATAAACAAACAAACCAAAATAATAAAAACAATAATAACGGCATTGCAAGAAGACCTCAGAGTTAGAGCAAACATTGTGATCAAACATTCACAACGTAAAGCCACAGATATCCAGAAAAGAGGATTAGTAGTAGGTAAACAGGTAAAAACCAAAGTCAGCTCAGAAAAATCATAGAAGCCTAAAAAGAACAAACAAACAAACAAACAAACAAAAAAAGAGAGAGATTTCAAAGGAAGAAAGCATACCATCAGTTTTGTCAACTTACATCAACAAATTGCCCGCATGATTTTGGCAGGAAGAAAAAAAAATTTACAAAAGAAAGTTGTGTAAGAATGCCTTTGGACAGGTTAGATTCTATTTAACAGTTTCTGATTGAATACTATATATGTGTGTGTGTATGTGTATATATATATGTGTGTATATTTTTTTAAATATATTTTCTATTTTTAGACAGGATGGTACAGGGAGGTAACGACACATACATCCACACATGACATGAAAACAATCCTCACCATTCTGTTCAGGATATCTTCTTTTTTTGTTCTTTTAAATGTCTTTAATATTCGTATATATAAAAAAAGAAATATGTACATCTATAGCTCCTACTTGGATTAATATATCTCCATAAATATGTACAGCCTGATCAGATCTCTTAATTATTTGACTTTAGCTCCACATGAGCTTGTTCATCGGTCGTGAACAAACGGGACTGTACAAATCTTGGACTGGACTAAAGGGAGGAAGGAGTGGGGGGTGGGTGAGACCTATGAACATACTAGGGAGGAAATGACATAAATGGGGGTGACTGTGTACATCAGTTGCCATGTCCATGTAAAGGCGGCACGAAGCGGTCGGGCGGCATTAGAGCTTTTGGCTGTAAGGAAGGGATGGGGATATACAAACAATGAGCATATACATGCCCATCTACAGAAGAGAACAGCACTCTGAACACTGACAAGTTTTACAAACCCTAAGCTGCAACTTCTTTGCCATGCACAAAAAAAATTAGACTGATTTGATCCAAATTTCATTAAGAGTGAGCTAAAGAACAGATGAGAATTAAAATAAAAAACAGTGTAGAAACAGATTTTTACAATAGTGGTTAGATCTACTTTGTGGGGGGGGGTCTTCTCTTTTTTCTCTATGATAACATAAAATCAAAACTGCATAAATTTGATGCCCAGTTTAAAATTAAAAAAGGCACCTTGTGTTGTTTGTCGATTGTGAATGAACTCATAGAGAAAAGAGGAAGCTTTAGTCTAATTAAAGGAGAAAATTCATCAAAACACTGGCAATTGTGATTCAGAACAATTTAGCAGAAAGTTAACAAATTGGACATTTTCAGGAAAATAAACCGATTCACATATATGTGTTTACATATATGCACAAATTAATACAGGTTAGCAAGCAAGAAAAAAAAAAGAAGAACGGCATTAAATTTCTCACACTATAAGAAACGGACAACCAGAAAGCACACACTGAGGCAGACAAGGAAAAGGCCGGGACAGTTTAGAGGCAAAATGTCACCACCTTTGAATAACTAATAATAACAACCTCTTTATTATTAGTTATTTTAATACATTTCTATTGTTAGTATCTTAAAGCACAAGACAGGGCGTGCAATCTGGATGTATGTCAAAAAAAGAGAGAGAGGGAAAATAGACATTTTTTCTTTCTTTGGATTTGAGTTTTACGGGAAGAAGTTGGGTTAATGCATGCTTCAGTAAGTTGCATTTAGGGAGAGTAAGATACAAAAAACAATACAGCAAGCCAGGGGACAGGTGAGGAAGGGGGTGGGGGGTAAAGAAGGGGTTTATGATCAGTAAAAGGCATCGCCACCAAAGGCTGTGGGGTACTCCCCTCAAGCAAACCATTCATTAGCAGCTAAAGGGGAAGAAGGTGCATTGTGGGTGATGTATAACCAACATTAAATGGTATTTAAGCCCATCACGTTCACTAATTAATCAAAAAGGTGGTGTTTTGTAATTAACCAGCTTTGTTCTCTGAAAGCTTTAGATGCTTTGTGTTACGTGCATCACCAACAGCCTTTGTTTGAAAGATAAACCTCATCCAGAGTTCCACAAGAGGGCGCAGGGTGGAGCGTTTCTTTATGCCTCTGCTAAATGTAGAGATGTGCACATTTATCTTCAAATACCAGGTTTAGGTTCCTCTTCTGTAGGTAAAACCCCAAGCCTGCTCATTTAGCAAACTGGATCTGAGTTCAGAGTGACATGTGACTGGTCACGGATATAGAACACGCTGCCATGATAATATTTCAATTACGTAACCTACGGTGGCCCTGAGGTGTAAATGAACAAAATTTGAAAAAACGGAATTACATTAAGCCAAACCAGAATTGGTGGTGGTGAGGGGTGGGTGGGGGTTAGAGTTTTTATTTTTATTTTCTTACTTTATTAACATAAAACTACGGAGGCCCTGAGGTGGTTTGGCACAATGCAATTCCTTTTTTTTTTTTCAAATGTGATTCCGGCCACTTCTGCTTTGGCTTAAAGTAATTCTGCTTTTTTCAAATGTTGTTCATTTTCACCTCAGGGTCACCGTAGTAACCTGCTCTGGTAAATAAACAACAACAGTGTAGCT